ATCTTCAAATATTTTGATTTTAAGTATACATGAAAATATCACATTATAGATAATTACCTTTTAGTTAACCATTTCAGTTATTTTTAATATCACATGAGAGTGAGGTTTTGACCTTTGTTTCTTTCAATATCTATTCACTACTTTCCATGCTTTGATCAGAAACTTTCTAGAATGCCACACATTGTATTTTACTTTACATTTATGTGTTCACTCACTTTTCTCATTCCTGAAATAAATGAGCCAACATTTCAGACCCTTCCAGTCCTAGGATAAAACTCAGTCGATGACTACTCTGATAGCGCTTTCTTGCATGATACCATTATTCCTTTGAATCTGCATTAAACACTTCAAGACAATTATCTCCTCCATTATTTCTATGAGGAAAGTTAGCTCAAGGAGATTAAATAATTTGCTTAAAGCCTAAAAAGTGGTGAAGATGTGATTAAACTCTAGGCTCTGAGTTATAGTCTGCATTCTTTTGCTACAATCCTGATTTTCAAATGTTTTCTCCAAAGCTATATGATACAAATGATAGGGTATGAGGAATCTCAGTTTTAAAGCAGATAAAATACTATTCATTAGCCTGTAATCCCAGCATGTGGGAGGCTGAGGCAGGAGGATGTAAATTCAAGTCTTACCTGGTCAATTTAGTGAGACCTTAACTTAAAAGGAAAAATACAAAGGGATGGGAATGTAACTCAGTGTAAAGGCCCTAGGTTCAATCCCCAGTAACATACATACACACACACACACACACACACACACACACACACACACACCCCTATTTTAATTTATTTTTATAAATATAAAATGAAAATATTTGCTGAAGATTTTAATGAATAATAAGGTAATTTTGATATACATGAAAATTTTAAGTGAAAAGTGATGGATACAATTTCAAGCTTTTATGACCTCCACTTTTATTTCTATATTGTATTGAATTTCTAGTATCAAGAAACCCCTTATTAGTAAAAATACGTCATTGTACATGGAAATATTTTTATAAAGCAGCACACCTCATAACCTCAAGCTGTTCTTCAATTAAACTGACTGAGATATATGAAACATCACCAAAAATTTTTATTTCTATGAGATCACTTAGAATATCTAGCAACTACTCACAATCTTTTAATGAGCTTTCTAAAACAGAATATTATCCATACATTCATTTCTCATATAATATTATGATGGCATTACATATTTGGTTTCAATGACTTCTTATCAGGTTCAAAAGCTCATCTGAGATAGATGACCAGATCCTAGACTAACATTAGTAAATTTGTAACAAACATCGATCTAGGAATTTATCTAACTATACACTTTAGTTTTGTCAGAGTTTCGACCATATACCATGATTTGGCATAACTTAATGTAAACTCTTAATACATATTCATTAATGTCAGCAGTGTCACTGTACTCTCACTGTTTTTGAAAATGATTATATAATGTAGGCTTGGCCTGGCATGTCAGTGGGAATACATGAAAGTATATTCAAATAAATATATATTTTCATCTTAGTAAGTCAGATTTGATTTTTTCCTTATACTCCAGATATTTGCATGATATAATTCAGTTAAACTCTTTTAAATAATCTTTTCCTAAATTAAAAAAGATGTATGTTTTTCTACCCTAATTTCAATTTTGCCTGGCTCCAAAGTCACTCTTTAAAAAAAAACCATTATTTCCAGTACTTTGTGATTTTCACTTCTTCCTCAGGCTCTTATTAGATCTTATATTTGTTCTCCCTAGTTTCACAACTTTTGATATATTTTAACCTTTGTAAATAAAGTAATGTACAAAAGTGCAGTTTTCTCTTTATTCATTGAGAAATGTCTTATGACAGTAATTTCTCAGATACATAGAATTAAAATTAATTGACATAAATTCCTTGAAGAAATGGTCAAAGTGATTATATGGTCAAGTTGAAATTACATTCTCTCAGTCTCCTAAAGTATTTCCATTAGAAAGGTCCCCAATTTATACTTTTTGTCTTTTATGTTACTCATTGTTCCACCCTGGATTCTCTGTGCTTTTCTTAATATTAGACTATTATAAGAAATAGAGTAGTTGTAGAGAGATTAAATTACAGCCAAAAGTTTTAAAATTGCAAACTTCAAAATTCAAAAGTATGAACACTTAAATTTCACTCAAGATACTAAGAAGAGATTTAGGAATACAAAATGTTTATGAAAACCAATTTAAATCTCCTTTAGAGCTATAGTGCCAATGTAGCTTTACATGTCAGAAACTATAAATGGAAATATTAACAGGCATTCACAGTAGAAAATGAAATTCTGACTGAGTTTTCATATTTCAAACTTTGTGTGCTTCAAGGATTATTCTTATATATAGTTAAAAGAATTAATTAAAGTGATTAACTATATATCATATGACTACAAGAGCTTTGGAAAATACGACCAGAGGAGAGAAGATGATTGCCCATGGGGTGACAGCAAGGGTGAGTGTCTTTTGTCAGTATTGGAAAAAAGCAGGTACCCTATGGCAGGAGCAAAAGATAAAATCTGATAAGAGAAGATAAATGAAAACAGAATTTCGTTGCAGCAAAATCCAGTGTCTAGAGGGTGTATGAGAGGACCCTGGACCACTTCTGTATCATGGCACCCTGCCCCACACCCAGCATACATGGTATCTTGGGAGAGGATTGTATGAGGGAGGGAGCTGGCCCTTCAATACAGGGCTGGCTGATGGAATAGACTCACAATCACGCTAACCTCCCTACTGGGCTCAGTGAGCGAGAGACATACAAGCAGGGGATTCAGAGAAGCCAAATCAGAAGAATAGGACAGGACAAAATGCCATGTACCAGTTACCTATGCACCAGTGACCTGGAAATAAGAAAACTACAGGGGAAAAGCAGGTCTAAGGGGCACCAGTGGAAAAGAGATCAAACACCCAATAGCTGAGGTACAAGACCTGATTAAAAAGGAAGCAAAGAAACTCAGCCAGATCAAAGATGACAAAACTCAAAAGACAGTGAAGCTAACCAACTGACCAATGTGGCTACAAAAGAATCAAGTAAAAATTTAAAAGAGATGACCAAAACTGTTCAAATCAGGGTAACACATTTCTCAAAGAAATATACTCCGTGAAAAGGTGCCAAACAGAAATCCCAGAAATAAAGAATTCTAATGAATACATGAAGAGCAGAAATGAATAATGTGAGAAAAAGATTTCAGAAATTAAGAAAAAATGGAATCACATGATAATATACTCAGAGAAATCTTAGAAATAATAAAATAGGAATAAAAATTTATTCAACAGCTATTAGGTGGCACCAAGAAGGCTAACCTAAGGTTAATTCAAGCTAGAGGGTAAGTAGAAGAGAGAAAATATGGAATAAAAATTCTGTTTACAGAAATCATAACAGTGAAATTTTTAAGTACAGGGAAAAAAATCAACATACAGGAAAGTAAGGCTTACAGAATACTGAATAACTACAAAGAAAAAAGAAGCTTCCCGAGACACATCATAGTCAAAACCTTAGAAGTCCGATATAAGAAAAGAACAGAATCATAAAAAAAGTCAAAGAGAAGCAAAAATATCACTGATGAAGGTAGGCCCATTAGGATTATAGAAGACTTTTCAACACAAACTTTAAAGGCCAGGGAAGCTTGCAGTGAAGTGTACAAAGCCCTAAAAGAGGACACCTTCCAACCCAGAATAATATATCCTGCAAAACTATGTTTTAGAATTTTTGGAGAAATGGGGACATTTTATGACAAAGAACATCTCAGGAAATTCAAGAATACCAAATAAGTACTCGAAAAATATTGAAGAAGATTCTAGATGGAGACAATGAAACAAATGAAGAGAAAAAGTCAGATGGAATGAATTCATCAAGCGAGGTGAACAGTTAAACAAAATGAAAAACTAAAGTAGTAAATAACAGAGAAAGAACACAATGACAGCAACAATTCAGTAAGAGGCAAAAAAAGGCAACTGAGATTCTGTTTAGAAAGTCCTTGCCTACACTTATGTCTTCAAGATTTTTACTTATTTTATCTTCCAGCAAATTAAGTGTTTCTGCAGAAAGAATGGCTATCATCAATAAATCAAATAATAACAAATTGTAGAGGGGCTGTGGGAAAAAAAAAACACTCTACATCATTGGTGGGAATGTAAATTGGTACAACCACTATGGAAATCAGTAAGATTTCTTTAAAACTAAAAGTAGAAATTCCACTTCACCCATCTATTCTCCTTCTAGATATCTTCCCAAAAAAGTTAAACATCATATTACAGTGAATCATGCACACTTATGTTTGTAACAGCAAAATTCATAAGAGTTAAATATTGGAAGCAGCATGTATGTTCATCAACAGATGAATGGATAAAGAAAATGTACACAAATATACACAATGGAGTATTACAATGACACAAAGAAGGAAAAATTTGAGTCATCTGTAGAAAAATGGATATGCCTTAAGATCATAATATTAAGTAATGTAAATCAGTTGCATAATTGCTTACTGTGGAATACAGAACATAATTGCAACAAAAAGATGAGTATGTATTTTAAATTAATTATAAAATCTAAACCACATGGGGTAACTTATTAAGTTGTTATAACTATAAATATTCCATTAAAATGTTTCAAGTTTATTTTTACCAAACTTTTTTTCCTCTATTCTTAGTAACTTTTCCTTTTAAAAACTCTATTTGGTTACCTTGGATCATGATTCTGAGGGATGTGTCCTTAAGATTTTAAATGGTACTACTGGTAAACTTGTGTTATATATATTAGCACACACTTATCTCTGCTATTATTTCATTCTTTATGAATATGATGAATATAATTTTTTAAAATGAATATGATGGACATATAATATGATGAATACACTGTAATCTACTTTAATATAACATTAGGAACAAAAATTTATAGGAAAAATACCCCCCAATTTAAGAGAAAACATCAGAGTTTCAGAATAAACATAAATGCTGTCAGGTTGCTTACAAAATTGAAACTGAAAGAATCCTACCTGATGAATCAAAATTCACCTCATCGCCAGGACTTGGACCTACATCAATGGACACAACTGGTAAAAGCTTCCGAAAGTCCCATAGCTTTATAACCCCACAGGCATCACAGGATGCTATCATGTGACCCTTCAAAATAGAAAATAAACAAAAATATGTATACATACATTGCATATATAAATACTCATAGTAACCCAAAGGGAAAAGGTAACGTTCATGTCACAATTTTATTAACTCTGCAAAACCACATTCCTCTAAACTGAAATGTACTCATTATTTACATTGCATATGAAGTTATATAAAATAATATTCTTAGTACATGAAATTCTATACTAATTTTAGAAAAATAATTTTTCAAGAAGACATTTTGTTTATGTGAAGGGTACAATAAAACAAAAATATATGCACTTATGAAATCTGGCTATACAAATACATGCCATGTGTCTTGTAAATGATATATGTAGCATAAAAACTATGCACCTGAAAAAATTACCTCAGCAAGACATCATAATTTATGTGGTTGCAATTAGTCTTGATATTTTGTACCTCAAGTAAAGAGAGAAACATATAGGAAGATAAATGGACACAGTGAGAGAAGAGTTTCATCTTGGAGAGTAGAATGACTAGGGCCAGTCCATTGATTGCAATGAAATCATGCCTATTGTGGTCCATTAGACAAAATTCTCAATAGAAATATTTGAGCCATTTTTGATAGTAATTAGTGAAGCAAGAAAGAAAATAACTGGAGAGAAGGAAGAGTGGATGAATTCAAGTGAAATGACAATAGAAGAGGAGGATATTTTCTCAAAAAGTGATGGCAACTCAGGCTCATCCACTGGAGCTCACTGGCTGTCTATACTTCTACTGGACTCTCATGAAATGTGCTTTGAACACCCACTTCTCATCAAGAACTCAGGACATTCTGATGAATAAGAGGGGGTTTTGTCCTTTGGCAACTTCCATCTTACACTTATCATTTCACCATTTAATTTCTTTGCCCATTCACAAATAAAACTGAATGTTGTTCACATCAAAACTATCTTTAAAGTGTATGATAAGTCAATATACTATTTTCAATTTGATATACAGTTTTCCCTTCAGTTCCAGCTTAGTTTTTAAAATCTAATGTCAAAAACTGTCCTCTTATTTTCTTTTTAAGTTTTTAAAAAGTTAAAGGTATTAACTATTATTACATAATTTTTATTCTTGTTATTTTGAGCTACCTCACTTTTTCATCATTTACTTCCTGATTTCTTTGCTTTCTGTAAAAAATGTACATTACATATTACAGTTCAAGTGGATCTTTTGTTTTTCCCTAAACACACCAGTAATGCAATGAATTCCATTAGTTTCAAAATTCTATAACTGTTGCCACTGGCAAAGTAATACAACAGCCTTGTCCTCAGTCAAATAAATGAGATGTTTAATCTTTTTTATGACTTAAAAGGGAACATAGCGAACTTGGAATGATCTCAAATATGTAAACATGTATTGTAAGAATTGTGAAGAATCAGTGAATTTCATTTCAGAAGATGAAAGTTCTCAGTATTAGCAGGGAATATTAATGTTATAAATTAGAAAAAAATCTCTTTCCAAATATAAAGGCTTTCAATCATCTTTCAGAAGTCACAAAACAGAATCTTTGTTCAATTTTGAGAACAGAGTAGATAAGTTTTAATCACAATTTAATTCAGATGTTCCTCTCATCAAAGGCAAGTTATTCACTTGGTGTACTTTTCTAGCCTGAAGTTTGTGAATTAAGGCAATCTTCAAGTATGCTTTATTCCACTGAATATTAAAATTTGAGGAAAGCACTAACACTAGAAGGTTTTATCATATATAAAATGAAAATAAATATTTAAATACTTTAAAACTTTTACATTTAATAATGAAACTTTTATTGTTAAATAATCAATTTTTGATAGTTTAATGATACTAAAGTAATTCAATATTTATTAAATGCTTTTAATGAACCAGGTCCTGTACTAAACACTTTGTTAGTAAAAGAGTACATACTAATTTAAAAAAAAAACTGAACTACATTTAGTCCAAATTTTCCATAGCCTTAGGAACTTAGGAGCTATGACAAAGTATGCATTATGGTAGTATGAATATAATACCTTATTAAGTGATATAAATAAGTTTGCATTTAGATTTAATAACTTAATGAAACTTTGTAAAAAGAAAAAGAACTGCTTAGTCATACTAAGCAGGTGGTGCAGTTGTATATGGACTACTGCAGCTTTGGGAGTATAATAGAGCTCAACAAAATATTTGCTAAATTGATAGATGAATAATGTCTCCTTGGAGCTCACCTAAAAGATTCATTTTAACTCAAGTCCTTCCATAGCAGTCTTGAGGTAAATGTAAATTCTAATCCTCTTGGTTCTAAACCACTTAGAAAAAAGAAAATGAAATGATAAAAAGGATAAGGAATCTAGAACCTGTTACACAATATCAGTTATACATTTTTTAAATTACAATTTTAAGATCTAGGAGACATTACCACAGATTTACAGGAAGAAAAGGTCTAAAAGAGCAGGGGAATTGGGAGGGGTAGAGGAAGGGAAAAAAGGGAAAGGAAAAAATATGAGAAGAGAAAAAAATGGAAACAAGGTCTTTGCAAATAGGGAAGGGAGGGCAAGGGAAGGGGAAAAAATAAGAACCAAGAGACTCATGTAAAGTTACAAGAGTCCAGTGATGAATGTAACTGTATTTTATACCTAAAATGTACCAATAAAGTTAATGGGGAAAAAAACGAATCTAGAATCCAAAAGTTGGAGTATTCGCAAGACCCTGAATTTCTCCTCCCATTCAGGGCAAACCAGAGGGCCACCTGCCAGTTGCCCACCCTCAGGCAGAACAAGAAACTCATCTGGTGCTGATCCAAATGAAGTGTGTATATTTTGAGGAATCTGAAGGTGAGGAGCTGTGCAAAAGTGATTTATTGATGATACAAGGGAAATCATTTTACGTAACATTGAGGACAAGCAAGACAAGAAAGGATAGCTATAGCTAGGCACTTAAATCAAGATTTCAAAGAAAATGTCAGAGATGCGTGGAACTGTGTGATACTCTTACAAAGAGTGAAGACTCAAGAGTTTTTAGGAAATTCTCTAAAATGTAATTCTGCTTATTCTGGTAATTCTCAGTACTGATTCCAAGGAGAAGGTACTAAAGGTAGTTGATGGACAGCTCTAAGTTCAGATTGAATCCATATGTTTGCAATACAGAAACTCTAGCACCCAGCAGAATTCCTGTTTCATGCTAGCACTTAATCTTTGAATAAATACTTGAATTAATGAGCATAAAGGGAATAGAGTTATCATTGGGACTACATGTGATTTAAGAGGATTTTTTCAAACATGAAATGTTAAGTGAGCTGAAGAAATATTGTTTTGATCATGATTCAAATGAGTTAACTTACACAAATAGAATTTAGCAAAGTGGACAAAGGATACTTTTGAGATGATAATGAGTAGTCACCACTCCTGGATGCCTATGTTAACTGTCCCTACTACTAAAATAAAGATCCTATAATGGGAAGAGCCATACAGACGTGAAGTTATTTATAAGTTAGAATAGAGTAAGGGAACATAAGAACAACTCAGCTTCATCTAGGCTGCGGAAAATATATTGAAAGAGAATTTTAAAAAGAAA